GCAGCCTCTGGTCAAGAGGTGCCCTGCCTGTACATCTGTGTCCTCCTCCAGGAAGTGGCCAAGAAGATGAACTTGGACATGCAGAAGCCGTCCTCCCTGTGGAAGGACCAGGCGCTGGTGGAGATCAACATCGCCGTCCTCTACAGCTTCCAGGTAGCCCCAGGGGACACGCTGGAGGCCTTGCTGCGGCCCACGGGGACCCCGAGGGCTGTGCCCACCTGGCCGGGCTGCCTCCTGGCCGCTCCATCCGCTCAGTGTGGCTGTGGGGCGGAGGTTGTAGCCGGAACGGACGGTTAGACGCAGAGGTGGGGGTGACAGTCACCACGGTCACCAGAGACTGCACAGCTCAGAGTGACCCGTCCACGTCAGAGCACAGCTGTGCTTGCTCACAGGGTCCCCAGCAGCTGGTCTTTCAGAGGGAGCTGGCCAGGCCATTCTTCCTAGGGGCTTGTGGGTAGGCTCAGTGGGACACCCCCCCACACACACAGCTTCCGGTCAGCAGCCAACACAGTAACCATGCACACAAACCAGGGGCATCCTTATTACTGAGCATGGCCTCTGTTACACTGGGTCTCCCAGGAGTGGCCCCCCTGCCCCCCCCTCCCCGCTTGCCTCTTGTCCTGGGGCGTCATTCCTAGGGACTCCATCAGTCACAGACGTAACCTTCAAACCAGGACACTTGGAAAAGCAAAAGGAGCAAGCAAAGAGGTGATAAAATCCGGCTAGAGCAGAGCATGTACACGGGTACAGATAAGAGCTCGTAACACAGGGGATCTGGGACAGATAAGCCCCTCAGGACCAATAGTGAGAGTAGCGATCCCAGGAGGGGAAGGGGAAGGTGGAGGGAGAAAGGGGAACCAACCACATGTAATCCCCTCCCTGGGGGACGGACAACAGAAAAGTGGGTGAAGGGAGACATCAGCCAGTGTAAGACATGAAAAAATAATAATAATTTATAAATCAGCAAGCATTCATGAGGGAGGGGGGAAATGAGGAGCCGATACCAAGGGCTCAAGTAGAAAGAAAATGTTTTGGCAATGATGATGGCAACAAATGTACCAATGTGCTTGACACAATGGCTGGCTGGATGGATTGTGGTAAGAGCTGTATTAGCCCCCAATAAAATGATTTAAAAAAAATAAAAGTTTATGATAGACTTTCAAATAATAATAACAATACAGGAAGGAATGACATGTTGTGGGCAGGACAGATAGCACTGCCTGGGCCAACAGGTGAATCGTGTCCCCAGAGGACTCCAGAGCCCAGTTCCCAGCCTTGCAGCCCACCCACCTTGCCTCTGATGGCCCTGTCTGGTTCATCAAGTCACTGTGACTCCCCAGCAGCATCGTGTCAGCCAGGCCGGCAGGGAGAGCCAGTCTCAGTGGCTGGAAGTAACAAGCAACCATGCAATTGCAGGAGCAACCAGGCCACAGAGAGAACAAAGCAGAGTCGTTCCGTTCCAGCTCCACGCTCGCTGCCCGGGGCCCTGGCACCCAAGACTGGCTCTCTCCTACGATAGTAACAGTGAGGGGAGAAGTAGCACAAC